AAAAAATCCTATACATAATATTATGAATTTTTAAGCAAAAACAAAAGTTAAAAACATATGAAAGAACAATATAAAATAAAAAAAAATATTAGATCTGACAAAGGCTATTAAAAATTACTAAGTTGTAACACGTACTAATAAATATTAAAAAAAATAAATAAATATGCTATGATTAATAAAAGTAAACATAAACATTTTAAAACTTATATTTATCGATGTAAACGAGCAGGGTTATTAAATGTTTTTTAATTTTTGTACTTATTAATTCTATATGTAAGTTTTAGGTGATATACAATAGTTATTTTTACCTTTATCCATGTAGGTTAGAAAAAAAAAACACTGGATTATTCTAATTTTAAATTACTTTTTATTTGCTATTAGCTTTTTACATATAATATATATATCATATTAAATATATAAATAATAATTATTTTAATTATTCCAACAGAGATCAAATTAAATTACATTGAAAATTTTGTGGATTAAATGATTCCAATTACTATAATTTATTATTGTTTGAATTTCTGTTGAATTGTTTTACGGATCATGTTTCAATTGTTGAAAAAACTGTCATTGAAATTGTAAAAAATTTAATAGAAGTACCATTGGAAAACTAATTACAGTGGGGGATCCAGAATAATTTTATATTGGGGCACTATATAGTTAATAGAAAAAATGTACTATCAAAATAACATAATGCCATTACAATTTATAAATTATATTTTACATAATTTGTCATGTTTCTCACTTGTAATACATTCTAGCACATCAGTACAGTCACAATAAGTTAAAAAATATTTAATAAAAAAAATGACGATTTTTCTCAATTCAACATACGAAAATCATTGAAAATAATATTTTTTTAAAAAAATTATAGACAAAAAATCTATATTGTAGTATAGTTGACTCGGCAATACAGTTAATGAATTTATAAATTATGAATATATAACTATAATTCCCCTTGCATTAGTTAAAAAGACATAAAAAATATATTATGAAAATATAGAAAAAAATATGTTGCAAAAGAGAGATTTGAAACTATCATCAATATGGTTCATTTACATTTAATTGAATTCAAAAATGCCTTTTAAAATAAGAATAGAAAAGTCTATATCGTATATCAGATAAAAAATTTGAAAACTTGGCGTGAACTAACGAATCATTATGGTATTATATTGTAGTGATGCAATTATTCATGATAATAACATGTATAGATAATTTTGGTATATAAATGAATAAACTGGTCTCAACTATTGGGTCGTAATTTTGAGATTTATTATTTTTTTTAGTTGTGATGTCGCGTTTATGTTATAACATTAATAAAGTTATGAGTTGAATTAAATTATAATTGGTTGAGTTGTAAAATAATTCATTATATATCTTTTTTTCTTTTAATTTCATTTTTAAAATAGGAGACATGATAAAAATTATGAAAAAATATTCCCACAATTTTTATTAGATTTCTTACGCTATATGCTTTGGGATGGAGGGCTGTGCCGGACCTATAAATAAACATATATCTGCTCATGATTGCAATAAAATATTTTTTTCTAGAATTATATTGGAAAATTCAAACGGGAGTAATAATATTGAAATATTCGTTAGAATTTCAATGAATTCCCTTGTAATATATATATATTTTTTTTTTTGAAATTTTCGTTGGAACTTTCTCATTTTCTTGTAGTAAAGGTAGGGCTCCAAATCAATAAGAAAAATTTGCATTATACATAATATTGTATACAACTATTTATTATGAAAATTGTTGATAATGATATAAAATATAACACATTCAATCTGATTATCATTTAATTTATGATAGTTAGTAAACTATTTCAAAAAAACAAGATACATCTAGGTCAAAAAGTCTTTGATTGTTTTATTAGTATTATAATAGCTAAACAAGAGGTAAGAATGATGAGAAAACTTATAGCTCGCATTAAATTTGAAAGTAAAAAAATTGATAAAATTAATTAATGTCCTATATCAATTGAAACTAGGTAATGAGAAATATCAAACATACTTAATATGCACATTTATTTTAACTTGAACTTTTAATTTCATAAAAAAAATATTTTTTTTTGCATTAAAATTCACTATGTTAGTTTTAAATTCTTTTAATTAAAAATTTAATTACTTTCTACCATTAATTTTTCAATTTTAAAATACTTATTATTTCTTCATTTGTTATCCTTCTATATGTAATATATCACATATTTATTTCCAATGATGTATATCAATTATCAACACGAATTTAAAATAATAAATAGACCTAAAAGTATCTTATAAAATAAATTATACATCCATGATAAATAAATTCATTCAGTATTAAATAACATAATATAAACTTGTGGCCTATTTTTCTTATATAGATCCTAAAATTCATAGTAAGAAAAAAAAACAATGGATGTAAACATACAACTATCACCAATATTAACCATGTGAATTAAAAGGAGAAATAAACGAGTTGTATGTTAAATTATTATTCAACTAACACATAAATTCAATGAGTATGAAAATGAGTTGTTTCTTAATATTTTCTCAAACATTGGGAAAAAATTCTAAACCTTTTAATCTAATAATCAGTATAAAAGTATATTTTTTATCAAATCTATTATTATTATAATTAAATAAATAAATAAGTAAGTAATATTATATTTTATTTTATCTTATGTGATTATATTAGTTGTTGCCTAATAAATAAGATATTTTGATAACAACACCATTATACGAAACACGTACAAAAAATGATGCAATACATATAAATGTGCTATAATTCTTTTAATAAATAAAGTATAATTAACAATAGAATAAAAAACTAATAAAATAATAGTAATGCAATTGAAAAAATAAAACGTCTGAATATTTTTAAACAAGTATGAATACCACTATTTAGAAACAAAAAGTCTTTTAAAATAATGCTTTTTTGTTGCTAGCATTTAAATATATAGATTCTGTAAGAAATTGGATCTCATAAATAATGATATTATATTATCAATTTTTAATTTTAAATAATTTAAAATTTAAAACATTATAATACATAATGTAGGTTTTAATAATGCTTTCGTAATAATAAAGTTCAAAGATGACTAAGAGTCATAAAATAGAATTCCAATTCTTCTCATCTCAAATATTTTAACAAATTATATGTTTCTCAATGTTGTCTCATTGTTTCGTTTTGTTTTGTTTTGTCATTGGTGAAGAATAAAAAAATGATCTTTATCTTGAGTTTTCTGAGCATTATGTATGATGCATAAAGTTGGACGATAAAAGCATTAAAAAAGTTATTGGACACATACATGTTACAAATCCAAACGAATGTGAAAGATATTAAAATAAATAATTCTAAAATCATTGCAAGAACTAGATGGTCAATGATTTGCAAACAATAGATTATATAGTTCGTCTATCTTCCAAATAAATGATATTGAAAATGAAACGTTGGAGTCTGATCAAAACATTTTTGAATGTTTGAATGAAGTTGACACTTCTTTTAGGAATATTTATAATTTCATTGGTGTATTGTGCTTGAACATATGTGTAATTATTTTAGAATATGTACTTTTATGTAATATGTGATGATTTCAAAAAATAATCTCGGGAAAAGTACATGTAATAGAGATTTTGAAAAGTCAACTTTAATTTAGAGATGAAATTCATTCCCCTCCGTAGGGAGACATCCATGGGGTAGGTATCAATTTGTCTATATATATATATATATATATATATATATAGAGAGAGAGTAATATAGTAGTTTATGCAATGATAAAAAACAATCAACAATTTTAATGACACGGTTGGTTATTTGCAGAGATATTCATGCATTGTTAGTAGAAATATAAAGATAATACAACCATGAAGTTTCATTATGTTTGGCTAGAATATTTCTTAAGTGTTTGAATAAAGTAGACGTTTTGCTAAATAAATTAAGATGAATTTTGCAATACTATTGAATCAACTATGCTTCTTATGAGGACGTCAAAACCAAAATGAAAGAGATCGCTATCGAATCATCTAACATAAATAAATAAAAGAACTAATGCATGTATAATATATATTAGTCATTATTTAGTTATTTAGTGTTTTTGTTGGGGTTATAATATGTTATTTAATTCTTTTTATATTAGGACATCGTTAAGTTATTTTGGAAAAATAATTTGTTCTACATTTTGTTTCATTAATTTGTCCTGCTACATTTTGTTTCATTCTTGCAATGATATATTTAATAAATTAATTTATTTATTTTACTAAACTTAATCGGCAAAAAATAATTACATTATGAGCTCATTTGTTCTACGTTTTATTTCACTCTTGCAATGATATTTTTAATAAATTAATTAATTTATTTTACTAAGCTTAATTTGCAAACATTCACCACCACGTGCATCGCACGTGCACTTTACTAGTTAACTTACAAATATTCCTCTTCATTAGAATTTCCTTTCAAACATATATAAAAACTTATTAGAGTTTACTTTCAAACATAAAATGATGTGTTGCGGATTTAATTTCTAATTATTATTTATTAAAGTTCAATGATATAATTAGGAGCATTTAATTAACCATTGCCATCTCAAGTGTTGACCCACCACACCTACAGATCCTATCACACCATATATTTTCCCTTTGAAAACATGTACAATCTATAACTACTTTAAAGATAGTAGCACCATTAATGACTATTATTCTATTGCACACATAACAAGAGCTTAAACTCGTGCTTCCTTTGTTGAAATAAGTTTGAGTAGTATAATTCGACGTTTCCTAACAATCAATTAACTTTGTTGAAATTAAGTTTGAGTAGTGAAATCCATTCAATTCTTTCATATAACTATTATTACTATTAAACTATATTTTGATTGGAAAAATACGAGATAAACTTTGCAGCCCCTTTATATATATTATATTATATTTCCCAACTTCATAAGTATCTTCATCACTTTCCCCTTTCTAATCTCATCATCTATAAATAATAAATATATAAATAAATTAAAGCAATAAAAATGGATATAAGAGGCGGCGACTCCCCATCGATCGAGCGGAAGCTGCCATCGTCCCGTTTCAAGGGAGTCGTCCCGCAGCCCAACGGGCGCTGGGGCGCCCAGATCTACGAGAAGCACAAGCGCGTGTGGCTCGGCACTTTCGACACCAAGGACGAGGCCGCCCGCGTCTACGACACCGCCGCCCTTCGCTTCCGCGGCCGCGACGCCGTCACCAACTTCCCCCCCACGCCCGCCGTCGACTCCGTGGAGGAGACCTTCCTGGCGTCCCGCTCCAAGGTCGAGCTCGTTAACATGCTCCGCAAGCACGCCTACGCGGACGAGCTCGAGCAGTGCCGCCGCCACGGAGGATTATTCCCCTCGGGACCCCGCGAACACCTCTTCGAGAAGGCCATGACTCCCAGCGATGTCGGCAAGCTCCGCCTCGTCATCCCCAAGGAGCACGCGGAGAAGCACTTGATACACCTCAGAAACAGCAACATGAGTTCGAAGGGGGTTCTGTTGAATTTCAAGGATATTGGAGGGGGGAAGGTGTGGCGGTTCAGGTACTCGTACTGGAGCAGCAGCCAGAGCTACGTGCTGTCCAATGGATGGAGCCGTTTTGTGAAGGAGAAGAATCTGAGGGTTGGGGACGTTGTGGCTTTCCAGACGTCGGAGGGTCAGCTCTATATTTACACCAAGTGTAAGAGCGGTGATGGCACGGGACGGGTAGTGAGGCTGTTTGGAGTCGACATATTCGAGAAGAACGACGGTTGGTCGATTGATGATGATGATATGGTGGTGTGGAGTGGGTATATTGATGATGCCTTGTGAATTAATTATTATGATAATTATTGTACGGGATTGTTTTTGTTCTAATTCCTTTCCTCTTCTTCTTCTTCTTTTTTTTTTTCTTTTTTAATTTTTTTGTTTGGAGACTTCTAATATTTATTTTGAAGGGGTTATACAATTTTACAGTGTATTTAGAATTAGAATTAGAAATTGCACCTTAATTTTATTAATCATTGAATTTTAATTCCACAAAAATTGTCATTTATTTATTTGTTGGTTTGTATTTTCAAATTTTGGTTGCACAGCCAATAAAGTTAACTAACTTCATCAACCATCAGGTGATTAATATCAAGTTGCGTAATATTTGAATTATTTCTTAAGGAAAATGAGAAATAAAATCATATGCAAAACAACTAGCCCCATGCAAGCCAAAATAGAATGAGAGAACCACACACTTGTGGCCTTTAACAAAAAAAATCAGTAACACTTCTGAAGATAATCTAAAGGCAAATACGAACACCTTGAGACATTCATATTACATCACAGGATAACAAGCAAAAAGGTAACCAACGGTACACAAATAAAACCACTTAACCAAAGGATCTAGCTGGCTAACTTCCCTCGAATACCAACAGAATTCATGTTGTGCACTGCATTAACCTCCAACCAATACTTCAAGATAGAGTTGACAATAGTTTGTCTGGCTTCCATACATTTTGAAACACTCAGAGGTTTCTCGCTTTCTATAGCCACCAGAGTATGTAAGTGGTCAATTGAATTCTAGCTTCAGAAATTTCTCTGTGATCCATAGAGCACGTACCCTCCATCACCACTTCTTAAAGTTCATTGTTGTTGCATGAATTTCATCACAACTGATTGGAGCCAACTTCCATTTGATTCGCTATACTGTACGGGGTGATACATAGCAGGAATTAAACAAAATTAGATGAGCATATATCGAATAAACACTAATCTCGTCGACTCACATAGCTCTTGTAACGATGGGCATTTTTTAAAAATCACATAAGAGTCCGAATTTTTATTTGTAGAGAATTTCAAAAACTACCGCTTAATTTTCTTCGTATAACGACGACGGAGAGGGAGTCAGTTACTGGGTATGTGGCTATCACCGTCTTCATTCGTCTCGCCATTGGCATCGATGTGTCTCCCCTCTAAGCAAGTCCACCTTTTATATTATGGCTCGGGAGCAATCACTTTGCTAGTAGAAATCCCGACAAACAATCGATAAAGGAATGATTTGAGAGAAGATTTTGTGTTATTATTTCACACGGTTTTTCGGAATATATATATATATATATATATATATAATTGGATTCTCTGAAAACTTACTCAAGACCAAAATTTGGTCTCAAGTATTTTAAGTGTTTTTGGGAATGTGGGGCGACTGAAATTCTGCCTCACTATAGTATCAAAAAGACCTCTGACCAGCTAGAACGAGCTAGAAATGCCTGGATCTCATGTTGGTTGTCTGTTGAACGTCCTCGAACCTGCAGAACTCTCACACTGTGGCGGTCTCCTGTGAAGAGCCTCCGATGCTTAAATGAGTAAGTGTAGAAGATGAAGTGTACAGAGGAAAATCTCTCAACAGTATAATATGTATAATAGAGAATGTAATATGTTTCAAGGCATACCTCTCTCCCTTATATAGGGAGATGATACCTTAAGGCCCATGTCGGGAGCGTGGGTTCTCTGATGCCTAACGTCTGAGTTATCTCGGTTTTCAGAGCCACTTGGGCTGTCAGATATGGTTATGAGGTGTGGACTACTCGGGTGGTGCCACGTGGTTTTACCCATGTGGGGGTATGATTCCTCTAAAATTCTTTTTTATCCTCTTACTTTTCTCCACAAGATAGTCCAACCCTACCTCTGACCCCGATTATCTCGAGGTTGAAAGCTCCTCGATCAGTACATCCCATTATCTTGCTCACCTGGTCGATCCCTCGACTAGGTGCTCCTTCGAGTTGAATGCCTTTGCAGCCCTTGTTCGACCTGCTGGTGTTCTCTAAATTTTCAGCGTCTCTTTCGACCTGAGGGGTCTTCACTTCCCGTTCAACCTGATGACCAACTCGGCTTGGTTCAGACGTCCTCCCAGTCTAGTTGACCAGGTATGGCTATCCCATATCATCTCTCTGGTCGAGTCGAGGTGACTTGATCCAAGAGTGAACTCAGATGCTTTTCGTTTGTCGGCCTTCCCCCTTTTTGAATCCTCTTGTCACATTTTTTTCTTCAGATAGGAGCAGTTCATTGCATATTGATTAGAGTAAACGAACTAAGCCTCGACTAATTACTGCTTCGTGTTAACTCGGCCGAAAGGTATAAACAGGCACATGTATATAGAAGTTACTAATTTGATTCATCATGGTGAGGTTCATTCTATCTGGATCAATAACCGGCCGGCTGAGTTGCGTAGTAATATTGAACTACATGGTGTGCTGTTAGAATATTACGGTCACATTGTACTTCTGCTGGTTGAGTTTGATGATGTCCCCAAAGTGAGCTCATGAAGGATTATAATGTTAAACCTGGCCAATGAAATTTATTCGAACATAATAATAATGTATTGAGTGGTACTAGCTTCGGTTAGTTGATTAATTTATTTGTTAGTAATTAAATTAATTGACAGACATTATATCTTAAACATGATGAGGTCACTAGAGTAATTTATAACTGGAGCTCAAACCATAATTTGGGGACTAAATTAGGAGTTTTCAATAATACTATTTTAGAGGAATGACTGTATTATTCTTATTTGAGCAGAGTGGGCTTGACCCACAGTTAGGCCCAAATACGGTAAGTCCTTGTTGCAGACTATAAATACATCACATCTCTTGGGATTTAAAAGATTACGAGAGACACACGCATATTCACGTTTTACCCGACCAATGGTTTTCTCCCTTTCTCTTAGAAATCCCAACCAAGATATCTCCAATTTTGTCGCCCACCAAGACGAAGGGAGAAGATATTGGGTCATACAACAGAAGATCCGAGGTAGATTGCGAAAAAATATATATATATGTTCAACCTATAGAATATATATATAGCTCCGTAGCCATCGGCGACCATCCGACAACAACAGATGAAGTTCACGTAAGTTCGGCGACCACAGGCGACCTTGGCGGCAGCAGCTGCGCGTCTGGCCTCTCTCATCCGCGTCTAGTCCTGAGTAGCAGCGCGCAGACCCGTCCAGGCGATCCCAGGTGCACAGGCGCATGCAGCCTCTCATCCACGCTCCCAGTGCACGCAGGTAGCGAAACCCGCAACTTTTTCGCGGGACCAGTGTCCAACCTGTGCGACCCGACAGTGAGACCCGCGAGTCCTTGTGAAACCTGCGTGATGTCCTAACGCCCACGCACGATGTTATCGCATCCAAGTAGCGTGTATCTCGCGCGCACGTGTCCCAACGTGTTCCCTGTGCATCCGTCTGCGCATCGCACCAGCCTCACGCGTGACTCGTGTGCACAGCACAGCACACCCACGCAACAGCCCGCGCCCCAGACCGCCCACAGTGAACACATCGCGCACATCACGCGAGCCCCACGCACCAGCGCGCTGTACCATGCACCAGCGGCCACTAGCTATCTCCATCGACCACTAGCGGTCCGGTGAACCCGATTAGCCAGCGAGCATGGTGTGGAATCCAAGGCGATCCAAAAAGAGACTCAGACACCGGGAGACGCGAAGAGGCAATTGCAACAGGACCAACATCAATTAGCGGTTCAGACAATCCCCATCAACGAAAATCAGAAACGTTTCAGAGTCGGCAAAAATATTAAACGATATGCAATGAACTCTAGCTTCTAGTTCCACTGCGCTTAGGGTTTAACTAGTATATAGTCCGTGACTTGTATAATTTTGACGTTCCTAACCGAGCCAAACAGTATTTACTCTAGGAGGTTGAGCCATAGTTTGGCGGAGTGTCAAGTAGAAATGCGTGGCAGACTCTGCCATGGATGTCGAGTACGTTGTGGCCTTAGATGCAACGAAGGAAGTGCTTTGTTTCAGGAACTTCTTGTTACACCTTAACATGGTACCGAGTTTTCCCGCTGCAATTACGATCTTTTGTGATAAAAGCGGAGCAGTAGAGAACTCGAAGGAACCATAGACTCATAGGGAGAGTGAACACATAGATCGCAAGTACCACATGATACAAGACATCGTTGGAAGAGGGGAAGTCGTTGTTGCCAAGATTGCATCTGAGGACTCCTTTTACGAAGAGCCTTTCGGAAGAGGGTATTCGAGAGGCACGTGGAAGGAATGGGAGTCAAGGTTAAACCGTTCTTTGAGAATTAGGATTGAAAAAGTGTATACTTATTATAGTCGAAAGTGTTATTGAGTATAAGTTGGAGATTGTTATGGAATACTGTAAAAGCTCGGCTTTCAGCTTCTGACAATACCGCTTTGAATAAGAATCATGTTTTAGTAAAGTGTATGTTTGCAGCTTATTTATTTATACAAACATAGTTCCTTTATTTTACATTGTGGATAATATGGTTTGAAGTGTCGAACAGAAAGATCATATTATTGGTGTCTTGTCAAATTTAAATTAATTGTTCATAATCCATACAGAATTGAACTAACTGTCGTGAAAGGTTGTAGTGTGATTTTGAATTAGTTGGTCTTTGAATGATGAATTACACTAGTACATCTAGGATGTATTGAATGGACCTACAAAGGAGAAGATTATTTTATACTGACCAAGTAAATAATCTAGACCTCAGTAATTATTATGTTCTCTTAACTCGTAAGACAATATAAACAGGCATGTGTATTCGGTACTTGCGTATTTATTTACCATGGGTGACGCTTATTTTGGTAGGTCGACAGGCTTCGTAATATAGAAAGTAATGACCGAATAGAAATTGTTTACGGTTATCGCGTCTCGGTCCGCCGGGTTGATACCGTCCACAAAACGAGCTCAGGAAGGATTTGTTGGTGAATGTCCTGAAAGCTTGGATTTGGTTGTTATGCACACTATTTCTGTTGAATGAAAATCGTGTTTGATTAAACAAGTTCTATGTTTTGTTGTTTTGCACTTACATAAAATGGTTCATCAAGGATGGACAGAAGATCATTTTATTAGCCACTTGCAAAACAAGAATGATTGGTTCACAAACCTAGATGGAAATGAACAAACCATTGGAATGATTGTAGTGTTAACCGTACAGTTGATCATGACTGATTAGTTAAACTAGTACATTTTATGTATTGCATAGGATCCCAGAGAGGAGCAGTTCGTTTTATACTGATCATCGTCAACGAACTAGGTCTCGATTAATTACTATATTCTCTTAACATGTAAGATATAAACAGGCATGTGCACGCAATAGTAATTACTTTGATTCACCAAAAGCGAGATTCATTCTGTTGGTTCAATAGTCTTCGTGTTTTGGGTAATAATGTTGCGTATATGATGTGTTTTAGAATACTAATGGTCACCGTGTGCGTTAGTTTAATGATGTTCCCAATGTGAGCTCATGCAGGATTATTATATTAAACCCTGCAGGTGGATTAAGTTCGGACATAATAATAAAGATTTGAGTGGTACTAGCTTCCGTTTAAGATGTCGATTAATTCTTGATTATCAGCAATCGAATTAATTGATGGACATTTTATCTTAAATGTGAGGGGTAATTCAGGTAAATATTATTTGAGCCTCGAATATAATTGCGGGGTGATGAGGGAGTGCAATAATGTTTTGTTAATGGACCGAGATATTATTTAAGTTATTGAGCTGAGTGGGCTTGGCCTACAATTAGGCCCAATGCTTAAGAAACCCACATCATCACCTACTTAGGGTCCTTGTTGTAGCCCTATAAATACACCATTAAGCTCTTAAGATTGGGCACTCATAACCTTACGCACGCGAGTTCAACCGACCCTACTTCCCGAGCGAGTTTTATCTTCGAGACTTGTTACTCCACCGAAACAACCGGAGAGTTGTCACGCCATAGCAGAAGTCCCCGGGGTACGCGGGACCCCGAAAGTCATTCTCAAGACACCGCGTACGACCAGGAATCCCCGGCGAGCTACTGCGTGCAACCAGGCCACACGCGCAGTCGATCGAGACGCAGACCCGGTGACCACCGCGCACAGCCTCGATGCAGCAGCGACTCGGCCCATCCACCTGCAACCTGCTAAGTTCATGCGAGCTCCTCCTAGCGACTGCGACCCGACGTCCGCGAGACCCGCTGTAACCGCGTGACGTTCCCGGCGACCCCGGTATGTCCGAACGAGGCTATCTCCGGCAAGTGGAAAATTAGGCAATCTCCATCATAGTTTGCATTTTTAAAGCGTAAGTGTTCAACTTTAAACTTTTAGATCCGTTGTGCATAGGTTTATTGTTGATTATTCTATCCATAACATGTACATAAATCTTCACCTCCAATAGGATTATTATGTTAAGCCCTGCAGGCAGATTAGTTTCAGCAAAATAATAAAAAACTGAGTGGTTAAGCCCATATTTAGCTCCTTCTTAGGGTCCTTATTGTAGTCTATAAATACACCGTTAGCCTCCAAAACACACATAATTCCGCATGCACGGTTCTCGATCTTGAAGCAGAAAACTCGGCCAAAAACTGAGAGCAAAAAGAGAGAGAAAGAGAGAGAGAGAGAGAGATCGTGAGTTCGTGAGTTTGTGAGAGGTTCGGGAGATCCAACAAGCCGTCCACCACGGCAAATTAGAGTAGGTGATCGGTTATACAATAGAAGATCAAAGGGTCTTATATTCTGCAATCCCGACGAATATATATATCCTCGGGAGTTGTTCGACGAACATAAAACTTAGCGTGCTCCTCCCTGGCAACCACCATACACGGCGACAGCACCGACGACACCGGGTACACACGAGCGGTACGACTCGCGCCACCCGCAACAGGCACCAGGCGTCACGCGACATTCACGCGCAGCGCACCCAGCGACCCGCAGTGAGCAGCGCGAACAGCGACACAGGCACTCAGCGACGCGACCTAACGACAACGTGCGCGACCCGCGATTCTTATGCAGCGATAGGCTCCCTCGGTGATCCCTCGACGGCCCTTGGCGTTCCTCGGCAACCAAGGGGCAGTAGTCGACGACTCTGCAAGACAAGTGCACAACAAGGACGTGGGAAAGAACACGTCTCTGAACTATTCGTCAAGCCCTATAAGCTATGCAAACATCTCAGGGACGGCAAAATTTTTGAAATGTAAGTCCTCAATCCTAACAATAGATTCTGCTACGTTATGATTCAACTCGCTAAATATTTGAATGTGCACATGAATCGAAGTTCTCAATAACTCGTTAAATATTTTAATGTGCACATGAATCGACGTTCTCAACCGAACCAGCATTATATTGTTTGTATGCGTGGGAATCATTCTAATCGAATTACTATATGGTTTATCTATTATAATGTTTGACGTAACATAAAAGTTATTATGATTGCCTAATTGGCCCTTTTCCTAAATTCGACTAGTTAATTGCACGTTCCCGAGCCCTTACCTCTTCCCATCAAAATCCTAATTCGAGCTTGGAGTTCTACTTGTTCTTTTTAAGCAATTATTACTTAGTTGAAATTCTTAGTTCACTTGGATAAATCAACATCCAAACCAACAATTTACACTGTTTACCTTTATTTTCCGTTTTATTTGAACAATTAATTGTGAGATTGAATTCCGAAGTCATCCGGAAAGATAATAATAAT